GGGCGTAAGTATCATGAATTAACTTTTATAACACAAAATAAACTTTATCAAAACATCATCTAATTAAATAAATTTATTTTTTATTTCATAGAGGGTAAGTAATATATTATAAATTAACTTTACAACACAAATAAGCTTTATTAAAATATCATCTAATTAAATGAATTTATTTTTTTATTTCTAGAGCGTAAGTAATATATTATAAATTTAACTTTTACAACACAAAATAAACTTTATATAATCAAATAAATTTATTTTTTATCCCTAGGGAGTAAGTATATATTATAAATTAACTTTTACAACACAAAATTAACTTTATCTAATTAAATAATTTTATTTTTTATTTCATAGAGGGTAATCTTTATATTATAAATTAACTTTTATAACACAAAATAAACTTTATCTAATTAAATAATTTTATTTTTTATTTCACAGATAGTAAGTACTATATTATAAATTAACTTTTACAACACAAAATAAACTTTATCTAATTAAATAATTTTATTTTTTATTTCTTTATAATAACCAGTTGGCAAGTATTATATTATAATTTAACTTTAACAAAATAAGCTTTATCTAATTAAATAATTTTATTTTTTATTTCATAGATTGTAAGTACTATATTATAAATTAACTTTTATAACACAAAATAAGCTTTATCAAAACATCATCTAATTAAATATTTTTATTTTTATTTCATAGACAGTAAGTACTATATTATAAAATTAACTTCTATAACACAAAATAAACTTTATCTAATTAAATAAATTTATTTTCTATTTTTTATAATAACCAGTTGGTGATTATTATATTATAAATTAACTTTTACAACACAAAATAAAACATCATCTAATTAAAAATTTTATTTTTTATTTCATAGATGGTAAGTATTATGTTATAAATTAATTTTTACAACACAAAATAAACTTTATCTAATTAAATAAAATTTGTTTTTTTACTTCATAGATAGTAAGTATTATATTACAAATTAACTTTAACAACACAAAATAAACTTTATCTAATTAAATAAATTTATTCTTTATTTCTTTATAATAACCAGTTGGTAAGTATTATATTATAAATTAATTTTACAATACAAAATAAACATCATCTAATTAAATAAAATTTTTTTTATTTCATAGATGGTAAGTATAATATTATAGATTAACTTTTACAACACAAAATAAACTTTATATAATTAAATAAATTTTATTCTTTATTTCTTTATAATAAACAGTTGGTAAATATTATATTATAATTTAGCTTTTACAACACAAAATAAAACATCATCTAATTAAATAATTTTATTTTTTATTTCATAGATGGTAAGTAATTATAATTAACTTTTACAACACAAACTTTATCTAATTAAATATACTTCTTTTTTATTTCTTTATAATAATCAGTGGGTAAGTATTAAATTATAAATTAATTTTTACAACACAAAATAAACATAATCTAATTAAATAATTTTATTTTTTATTTCTCCAGTTAGTAAGTATTATATTATAAATTAACTTTTACAACATATTAAACTTTATCTAATTAAATAAATTTATTTTTTATTTCATAGAGGGTAAGTACTATATTATAAATTAACTTTTACAACACAAAATAAACTTTAAATAAATTCATTTTTTATTTCATAGAGTGTAAGTATTATATTATAAATTAACTTTTACAAAACAAAATAAACTTTATCTAATTTAAATAAATTTATTTCTTATTTCATAGGGTGTAAGTATTGTATTACAAATTAACTTTTACAACACAAAATGAACTTTATCAAAACATCATCTAATTAAATATTTTTATTTTTTATTTCTTTAAAATAACCAGTGAGTAAGTATTATATTATAAATTAACTTTTACAACATATTAAACTTTATCTAATTAAATAAATTTATATTTAATTCTTAGGGAGTAAGTATTATATTATAAATTAACTTTTACAACACAAAATAAACTTTATCTAATTAAATAAATTTATTTTTAATTCTTAGAGAGTAAGTATTATATTATAAATTAACTTTTACAACACAAAATAAACATCATCTAATTAAATAATTTTATTTTTTATTTCTTTATAATAACCAGGGCGTAAGTATTATATTATAAATTAACTTTACAGCACAAAGCAAACTTAATTAAATATTATCTAATTAATAAATTTATTTTTTATAATAATAGTGAGTAAGTATCATATTATAAAATTAACTTTTACAACACAAAGTAAACTTTATCTAATTAAATAAATTTATTTTTTATTTAATAGATGGTATTATATTATAAATTAACTTTTTCAACACAAATAAGCTTTATTAAAACATCATCTAATTAATAAATCTTCTTTACAATAATCAGGGAGTAAGTATCATATTATAAAATTAACTTTTACAACACAATAAATTTTATTAAAACATCAACTAATTAATAAATTTATTTTCTTTATAATATAACCAGCATGTAAGTAATTTTTACAATGCATGCAAAATAAGCTTTTATAACATCATCTAATTAAATACTTTTTATTTTTTCATAATAACCAGCTGGTAACTTTTATCAACACAAAATAATTTTTACCAAAACCTTGTCTAATTAAATAAATTTATTTTTTGTTTTAAATGAATGTCTATTTTTATTATGCTGAAAAATAATTCTATTTTACTTTGAATTTTTTATAATGAAAAATTTAATTTTTGAAATAATAAGATAATACTAAGGAGTTTAAAGAAAGAAAAGAAGAATATGGGACCTGTTCTGTTTGTGCAAGATATAACACTAATTACCAGTGGTGTCAATCATGTGATCCTAAATTGTTAGCTCAAAGTTGGACAAGCAGTGGGAATCAAAAATTAGATGAAATAATCAGAAATACACAGCTTGAAGCCAAAGGATTTGATAGTTATCATTACCTTGAATGGATTCTTTATGACCAACTCACAATTGAAGAAAGAATAGGTGAAGGTGGTTTTGCAACTGTGTATAAGTGTTACTGGTCAAATGGTCCTAGATTTGTTCATGAAAATGAAAGATACTATTGTGTAAATGGTGATGTAGCATTAAAAAAGGTTAAAAACTCACAAAACATTTCTGAAGAGTTTTTAAAGGAGGTAAATAATTTGATATAATTAATTGACAATTATTAATGATTTTTAATTAATACATTAAATTTTTATTAATTTTCATAAAGCTTCAAAATCACATTAAATTTATAGGACCATATCATAATGGCATTGTTAATATTTATGGCATTTCACAAGATCCAAATACAAAAGAATATGTTTTAATAATGAGATATGCAGCTGATGGAGATTTTAAAAAATTTTTAAAACCAAATTATGCAAGATGGAGTGATAAGATTGAAAAACTTTATAATATTATCTCAGGTTTAAACACACTTCATCAAGAAAAACTTATACATGGTGATCTTCACAGTGGTAATATTTTATATTTTCCATATTTATCTGAGGCAATGATTACAGATTTAGGGTTATCAGGCCCAGCTGATCAAGAAACATCAAGTAAAAATGATATATTTGGAGTACTGCCATATATTGCACCAGAGGTATTAAATAAGAAACCTTATACACAAAAATCTGACATCTATAGCTTTGGGATTTTAATGTCAGAAACATCAACACATCAACTGCCATTCAAAGATCAACCACATGATACAGATCTTGCTTTCAAGATCTGTGGTGGCTTAAGGCCTAGTTTTTCAGATAATACTCCAGTATGCTATATTAAATTAGCATACAAATGCATGGATGCTGATCCTGAAAAAAGACCAACAGCAAATGAAATTTTAGAAACTATTGCTTTTTGGAAAGATGCAATTGCTATTGATGAATGTCTAAATTTAAATAAACCTATTTATTCTGAAGAACAGTTTGATAAATTATTAGAAATGAGAAAAATATTTAAGGAAGCAAATAAAAATCCTTTAATCCTTCAACAATTACAGCAACTGTTCATCCAAATGCTGTTTATACAAGTAGATTATTGAATTTTGCAAATCTTCCTCAACCTGTAAACTCCAATAAAGTTACAATTATTAGTAATAATAATGGTAATTATCTAATTTATTGTTATATATTTAATCTTATTATTTATTATTAATGATATTTTAAATTATTTAGAATCTCAACAAATTGAATTAACTATACTAGATGATTTTATGAATAAATTTCATTCATTATTGAAATTTTCACATTAGTTTTTTTATTATTATAAGGAAGTGTTATATGGTGAACAAATACCTCTTATTATTATCAAAAAAAATTTTTAATTATTATATGCTATCTATTTTAAATTAAGCAAACCCTCCTTGTAATTTAACCTGATTGAAGTGACCTATCACCATGCCTTTTATCATCATTTATTATTATTTATTATTTTATTAGTTTTTTATATCCAACATTTATATATATTGTTTTAACATTTTTATCATCTATAATTACTATATATAATTCATTAATAAATCTAATTGGAATTCCATCATGATGATTTTTTTGATAGTTGGTTAAAATCTTGATCCTGCCGATTTCTTGGATATCTTATCAGTAGGAAGAAATGATGTGTCAAAGTTGGGTGATATTTGTTTCTATAGTATAACAGATAAGAATTTTGAAATAAACAGTTTTAGAACTCGACAATAAAAGCTTCACAGCAAATATTTACTTGCTCGTGTTGCTTTTGGCATTTTATGAATGAAACAATAAAATTTAGAATTTGAAAGTTATTTAATAATAATAGAAATAAAAGAACGTATATTTTAAACTCTGAATAAGTTTCAACTCCAACATAACAATAAACCGGTTACAGTTAGGACTCATTAAGGCGATGCTTTGATAAAACGAACATATACGATGAACCAATTTGTTTTATTATCTACATATTAAATTTATCTCTATAACCCGATTTATTAAGACTTTTAAACCGAAAAAAATTTTTTTTTGAGAAAACGTTTAACGAGTTCTTACTGTATTGCATGCATCATGTCAATAGTCATGTTAATAGATTAACTAAAATCAAAGAACGTCATTCTGGTTTGCATGCTTCGCATTCAATACCTCGTATTGTCAATAATAGTAATAGTAATTATGACAACAATAATACAAATCAACAAATAATAATTGATGATGATGGATTAAGTAATTCAAATAATGAAACTTCAACTACTTTTTCAATTAAAAGATCAGCCTTAATTGATGTTGAAACTTCAAGGTCTCCACAAAAGAAATCTTTTTCAGAATATCATGGTATTTGTTCCGATATGAGTTTGTTGGTAATTATAGCAATCATAATGGTGAAAGTCCAATTGAATGTAAACAATTAAGATGCACTTTAGAATATGAAGGAAACGAAATTTGCATTTTTATTAAATCAAATGAGATTGTTGGTGAATTCATGCGTAATTTAGAGATTTATAAGGAATAATATTTACTACGATCGACGCTCGCCAACTATATGGTGAATCGTACAATATAAGGGAGTTGAAGATTTTCCTCAATCTGATTATATATAACAATAAATTTGCTCGATATAATGATTTTTAATGTAAGCTCTCTATAGTGAAGTCTATTAAACAAAGAAAAAGAATGCATCAAGAATCACGATGAATTTTAAATTTGTTCTTTAAATAATTTTTATTCGATGGGATAATTATAAACAAACTGTTTTAAAGAGAATTGTTTGTTACACGTTATTCAGTCCCCCGCAAAAAAAAAGGAAACAATGTAACTGTTATTGTTATTACTATACTCAAAATTCTCATTTTCTCCACTTTATTCATTAAAAACATCAAGTCAATTTTATATTTTATATAATGTCATATGTTAATTCATTATTATCAATATCTCCAGAAAGAAGGGAATTTACACTTGGAATTTATAATGAAATGTTCAATAATGCAGCAGTTAATTCTAATGAAAAAAGTATAAAAGATTATTTTCTTTTATTAGTCAAAAAAAACAAGGAGCTTTATGAAAATGAAAAAGAATGTTGTAAAGAAAAGTTTATTTATAATTTTGAATTAAATAATGCAAAAAATAAAAAGGGAAAACCAAAAGAATGTAACAAGTGTAAATTGACAAGATACTCTGATAGATTCTGTGAAGGTTGTATTAAGTTACAATTACAGAGTCTTTTCACCACCTGGACATCTGGAAATAACATAATTGATAATTTTATTCAACAATGTCAAATGAAATCATCTTTGCCAACCTATGTTCTGGAATGGATACCTTTTGAGCAATTTGATGATATAACAAAGTTAACTGAAGGTGGATTTAGTTCAATTTATACTGCTACATGGACAAGAGGAAGAATACTTGATTACAATGAAAATAATAAGGAATTTAGCTATTTTGGAAGATTGAATGTAGTATTAAAAAATTTAAATGATTCAAGTAATCCAGGAAAAGCCTTTTTTGATGAGGTTGGTAGTTATTGTTTAAAACAAAAATAAACCATACTGTATTATATAATAGATACCAATTGATTCTATATTCAATTTCAGGCAATAAATCATTGTAAAGTTAAATCACAATTGGTTGTTGCCTGCAATGGTATAACCAAATTCCCAGATAATGGAAATTATGCAATAGTTTTAATTTACCATCCAGAAGGAAATTTAAGGGATTATTTGCGAAATAATCATTTAAATTTAACATTAAAAGACAGAATTAAAATCTTTAGTCATTTATGTATTGCATTATTTATTATACATGAAAAAGATTTAATCCATTGTGATATACATAGTGGTAATATGCTTATGGCAGGGGGTGGTTGTTATATTACAGATTTGGGATTATGTGGACCAGTTAATGAAAAGTCATCAAATAAAATCTATGGAATTGTATCATATGTTGCACCTGAGCTACTTAGAGGCAAAATCAATGCAAAGAACACAAAAGAATCTGATATCTATAGTGTTGGGATGTTAATGTGGGAAATATTTGCAGGTCATCCACCATTTGATGATAGAGCTCACAATCATCGTTTAATTTTTGATATATGTGAAGGTTTACGACCACCAATATTACCTGAGATGCCTGAAGATTATGCACAAATGATGCAGAGGTGTTGGGATGTGGATTCATCAAAAAGACCAACCAGTGAAGAGCTTCAGAACTTTGCTGTTAATAAGTTGGAAAAAATTTTTGATAATAAAAGTTTGAAAAATAATAGTAGCAATAATGGTTTAATAAAAAGATTATTCAACTTTTCGAAAACTAAAAAACACGAAACTGATTTTAGTAATGATGGTAGCAGCAGCAGTGGTGGTAGTAGTGGTAGTGATTCGCAACCAGCACACAAATCACATCCAGATGCATATCATAAAAGTAGAATATTAGATGAAGAGATTGCTAAATCTAGAAGCTTAAAAAGTAATGATAGTTCATTAAATGATCTTGATTTTGACTCCTTTATCTAAAACGTTAACAAAGGTTAATAAAATTACATCATTGATTAATTGGAAATTATTATTCATTAATCATTACTAACAATTCCTTTTATTTAAATTTGATTGATTAATTAACATTAGATTCTGGTAATAATCGATATATGAATGACTAATTTAATCTCCATTATAAATTTATTCGTTACAATTATTTATCTTTATTTTATTTTATTCATTTCTTATAATAATATTTTGAAGTAATAAATTTTTTACAGTCTTCTGGTTCTTATTGAATGGTGATATTGCAATATAACCTTTTAATTATGGCTTAACTTTTGGGCTACTCTTGTCAGTTAATTGCAAGAAACTCACAATAATCCGATGCTTGTCAATTAGTTAGTTTGCGAACTTTGGTTCTCAATTACTTGCACCTAGACGAATTTGTAAGCACACTTAATGGTACCGAATAAATGTAAATAAATAAATGGCACTTTTACAAAGCTCGAAAGCTTTGATAAAGTTCCTTTTATTCATTTATAACCATCTATTTAGTTGTTCGGTTAACTATATCACACGATTCTTACAAAATTTTTCCGATTACGATATTTTTATATAATAACGATGAATCATACGATATTGTGAAGTTTTTTGTCAAAACTAACTCTTATTTATATCGGGCCCAACTATATTGTTGATGATGGTCTCGATTTAATATTGACTGAGGCAAGAAAAATTTGTTATGCTAATTTTAAAAAATTATCCAAGGACAACAAACATGATGATATTACAATTGGTAATGTAAATGAGCTTCAGAAACTATATAGTCTTGGCTCGGGTGATATTTTACCATAGTTACATTACAAATCCGTATCTCACAATTTCTAGTATTCATGAATGACGATGATCAGGAGAAGAGAAAGAGGATGATAACATAGAGTCGACAACCTTACCGGATATTTTGGTCGAAGAAAATACATTAAAAAACATTAATCGTAACCTAACAGAAGATGATGTTGAAAACATTGATGGATTCGGTAGATTCTATAACATATTACAAAATTCGAGACGAAGATATCAAATCAAAAAATCCACATTTAAAAAACTTTCAATTTTGGCAATTTAAATATATGATATAATCATATCTGCAAAATGGATAGCTGTTATTTTCTTTTTTCTTTTTTAATCATTTAAATCATTAAATACTTTATCTCTTGTGATCATATATACTACTGTTAAATACTTATAATTTACTACAGTTATTATTTGAAGAAAGAAAATATTCTAATCGTAATAGGTAAATAAGACTACACTATTAATAATTGATAATATATTATTATTGCCACACGTTCACGTTATTTATTATTCTTTTTTTTAATGGTATATTATTAATGAGTTGTATATATACTATTAGTTCAACTTCTCGATATTTCTTACCAAAAGAATGTAATAATGAATTCAATTGAACGAAGCAATTATTTATTTCTATAATTTTTATCCCTTGCAATTATTCTTATGAGCAAAAAAACCTGTTTATTGCATTCGGGAGGGGAATATTACCATTTTATTAATCTGCCGATCAATTCATATATAAAAAGTCCAAGCCTTGGGTATACACGGTCAGGGAGATTCCCAAATTTGGAAATCTATTCTAATGAACAGCTTATATATTAATATATACAGACAAGTTTAACGTGATACTTCCATTACATCAACCATTTTAGAACCCAACCAATTATAATAATGAAAGAAATTGTAGAACTTGCTTTGTACCAAGAGTCGGTTTTTTAATTTTCATATTGAGTACCTTCAGATGTCAGCAGAGAAACCATTTGTAGTTTTTTTTAATATTAAGGGCTTGGTGAGGTCAGGAAAATCTGCAAGGGTTCCTGGGATTTCAATTGGAAACAACATCCAAATGAAATGTCAAACTATTTACAGTAAGTTGATGATTTATATGTTCATTTATTTATTCATTTTTTATTAGAAACAATGTTTAAACAATCATTATTTATATTGATTTACTAATATTTTTACTCGTCAAAAAAGACATCACTTACAATAATTTATCATTATCCAGATTTAATATTCTTTGTATTCTTTAATACATGAAAATGAAATTGTGTCAATTTTAAACTGACACCGCAAATTTAAATTTGGCACGTAACATATGTATGTATATATTTCTCTCATTGAAATGGTTAAAATATAATATTATTATTGATGAAATGATTTCTAGTCACGACTAAAATCTAGTCGCAGCTGAAATCCAGTCGCGCGACTAGCAACACTAATACTAATACTAACAAATTTGAAAAATTTTGAGGTACAAAATTCTGATTGAGTTTCAGCGCGTGAATTTAATATTTATTAAATTTCACACGAAGTTGAATTGATTTTTATTTTATAGTTAGGATTTTTTGAAATAAATATTTTTTTCTCTCTTTCTCTTTAATTCTTTTTCTTTATCGCAATGAATTTATATAAATTTTTACATCTATTTTCCTTGAATTATTTTTTTCTTACTAATAAAGGAAATAAAAGATTTTTTAAAAAAATTGAATATTAAAAGATTACAAATTAATTTAAAAGAATGATAAATTTTCAAAAGGAGGTTTTGTGCGATAATTTAATGCTTGATTGATTGAATGGATTAATTGGATGTAAATTTAGAAGAAATTAATTAATTAGCTAATGAATGAATGAATGAATGAATTGATGAATGAATTAGAGTGAATCATGATAATAAAAAAGGGAAAAAACAATAAAATAATAAGTATTACGAATGCAAAATAAATTATTAATTTAATTTAATAGTTAATTTAAATTTTTCATCTTTAGAACATGTCATGGGATTTTTTTTTTTTAGAAATAAAATAAAGAAAAAGAGAGATTTTTTTAAAATCAAATTTTTTTAAAGGACTAAAATAGTTATTGCTACCAATTATCACTATTCATATTCCAACCCAATTAAATATTCACTACCCCAAGGCATTCCCCATCCTTTTACTCCAATTTTTTTCCAACAAACACGTGGAATTCCAATATCAGCTAAAAATAATTCTCCAGTTATTGATCGATTTCTACATCCATTTTTAGGAGCACCTAAACATAATGTCCATTTGGGTCGAACATGGTGAGCTGAGTTAACAGGATACCCTAAAAAAAAAAACGATTATTAGATTAACATAATATTTATTAATTGTATAAAATATGTCCCATCAGTTTATTACAAGTTAGTTACCTGTGTTTCCATTAACACCACTTGGCATATCCAAACTTAAAACAGGAGCTTTATTGATATTAGCCCATTCCATCAGATCACATATTAAACTTTTATCATATTCGTTCGAAATATCATGCAAAGAAAGTTGATAACCTAATAAAGCATCCACAATAAGATCTACAGGAGTGGTCAACTGTTGTGGCAGTTCTAATAATAATAATAATAATAATAATAATTAGTTTTATATTTTTGTTTTTGTATGCGATAATTAATTTTATATTATAATGAATGATTTGCATTTATAATCACCTTCTACAGTCTTAACAACTTTGCCACCAGTTGGAAGTAAAAATTTTTGTTGAAGCGCAACACTCTAAATTATTATTGTTATTGGTTAATTAATTGAATAAATAATAAACATAAAATAACAAAAAAATTTTCTAGTATACTTCATTATTCACATATACATACCTTAAGCAAATCTTTCTCTTTACTAACAACACATGCAATAACATGACATCCGTGATTTGCAAGATGTCTGGCGGTAGCAAGGCCATATGCACCAGTTTTATTATTACCGACAAGTAATACAACAAGTGGAGCTGCATTATGGTTATTTGGTCGAATACGTCTAGATCCACCTTTTATTTTAAAATTTAATCAGCAATTAAATTATTTTATATTTTATATATTTTATTATAAACTAGTACTTGATTAATGTAAAATAAATCAATATACCAAGTGCCTGAAGACACATCATCGAAGCACCTCTTCCCGCATTTTCAATCATCTGATCTTCATTAGGACCAGTTTCTATAGCTATATTTAATCAATTAAAATTCATTAATGTATCGAATGCTAAGAATATAAAATATATAGTCTATTTATAAATGATGATAAAATTATTACCAGCAAGTCTTTCAACTTCTGCCATCTGTGTAGGTTGAACGGTTGGACAAAATACTCCAGTTAAAGTTCTTATCTTGACTTTTTTATGATCGCCATTAGCGCTACCATTACTATTGCCATTTCCATTGATTTTTTTCTTAGTTTTCCAACCATCATCGGAATCAACCTCCGCATCATTAGCTGTCTCATCCTCCTCCTCCTCTTCTTCAGTATGATAAAATTTTAGTTTACGAGATGAAGATTCAAGAACATTTTCATTTGATGCAAGCTTTGGTTGTGAATTATGATAGTTATGATTATGATTATGATTATGATGATTATTTGATGAATAATGATGATTATTATTTACACCGTTGCGATGATAACCATTATTATAATTATCATAATGATGATTGTTGCTGCGATGATGATTACTACCACCATTGTGATTATTGTAATTATGATTATTCGTTCGATAATTTGTATTTCGATTAATATTAACAAGAAGATTTTCAGGTGCTGTATAATCTGATTCCTAATAAATAATAAATTGCGCATACAAAATAATAATAAATTAAATACTAAAATCTGAAATAATAATGATGATGATGAAGATGAAATTTTTTATTGCTTACTCTAATTTCTGCAAAAACCTTTTCTTTATCAAATAAATCCAAGTTGCCCTGAAAGTCAAATTCCTCCGATTTAAATTCATTTACATCACCGCCTGCCCATTCATGTGTTTGATTACGTCCTTTTCTAGGTCTTCTTGCTAATATGCGTGACGGATGTTATAAGAGTCAAAAGATAAAATGAGGAGGAGGGAAATTAATTAATTACATGATTTAAAATTAATAATTATTTAGATTCTTTTAATTATATCTTTTTAAAAATTACTTGAATGATTTTCAGAATAATTATAATAATAATTACTATTTCCATTCTAATATTATTATTATTTAAAAAGTAAAACAAAAAAAAAGTTAGAAATTTTTATTTTATTTTAAAAGATTTATAGTGATAAAAATAAATAAATATGACAATAACCCTTCGCCTCCTTGAAGGTCTTTTGTGATTGTACATTCCATTATCTGATTCGAGTGCGCTCGAATCGCCTCTATGAAATCCATTTGGTTTATTATTTCTTGATGATGATGAATTATGTCCGTAATTATTTTCTTCCTCATGTATTTCCTCCTCCTCGTCACCTTTTGAATCGGTGTCTGCAATGGAACCTGTTGTCTGAGTAGTAGTTGAAGATTTCTTTAGGGTTTGGGATTCAATATAAAAAGTATTTTCTTGTTGCTGTTGTAGTTAAACAACGATTATTATTATTATTATCATATTAATTTAAAACAAAGAGACGATTTTTGAAAAAAATACATACAAATAATGGCGATGTCGTTCTAAAAAAAATTAATTTAATTAGGATTTTTTTTTTAAATGCGTGTTTAATTAATCATTATTATTATTATTACTTCTTTTTACCTCGATAAATTAACAATCAATGGATTATTTGGTGAGACTATGTTTGGTGCCTGAGAAGAATACTATGTATGTTTATAAAAAACATCAACAAAAGAATTTTTTTTCCAATTCGTCATTGTTATTGTTGTTTATTAATTAAACAAGTAAAAAACTAACCGAAATAATTGCAGGATCTGAAAATGGAGATTTCGATAGTAGCACATTTTGTTGTGAAGTAGGAACAGTTGTGGTAGAAGAATATATACTTGAGGAAGATGAAGAAGAGGCAGCTTTATTGCTAGTAGCAGTATTACTATTTATTGGTTCAGTAATGATATTATTATTTAGATTATATGAAGCTTTAATTATTTTTAAATCTTTAATGTCTGTTCCAGGTACTCCATAAAATGCCTTTTTTTCGGTGTTTCCATCATTAGAATTGAATGTTACTATTATGCGTTTATTTTTTTTTTTAAATCAACAGTAGATTTATATATTAGTGTATATTATATCGAAGAAATCCAAAAGAATTTTATATATTATATTAAAGAGGAACCTACCATCTTTTAAAGTTAAAAGTTGAGTATGAGAGTCAATATGTGAAACTATTCCTTCTAAAGAGGAACCGTTTGTAAGCTCAACTTGCAAAGTGGCACCAATGAAATTTTCTACCATTATGTTGTTCTTTGTTATAAAGAAAAATAATAAATTTTTCTTTTTTTTTCTTTTTACAATTAGTTTGTTGTTGTTATTAAGTTGCAAGGAATAAAATAAAATGTTTTTTCTTTTGAACAATTGATTACTAATTATTAATTAATTATTAGAATTTATTTTTATTTTTATAAAGAAGAAGTGAAGCAAAAAAAATTTTTTAATATTTATTAATTATGAGAGAATATAGTGTGAACAAAGAAATCGCAGGGGATCAAAATTTAGTAGTTTATAGCAGGGATAATTAATGTAAATAATAATAAAATAAATTCAAAAAGAACCTACCTAATATCTAATACTATACTAATATTTAATATTAATACTAATTTTGTAAACGGTAAAATCTGTTTTAGTTTTTGGGGTTATTTGTTTGCCTCAACTGATTGTTACTTTTTTTGCTGTTTTTGTATTATTATGAAATAAGTGTTATACAATAAATAAATATTTTTCCTCCGTCGACAATATATACATTTGTCAATAATAACAAAGTTCAAATAAATGTATTCCATTCCTATACCAAGCAATCCTCAAGCAACGTAAGATGTCAACAAGTTAAACACATTTGCTTGGACTCCATTCAATATGCTAAAGGCCTTTTTTGTTTATCGACGATTTTTTATTGATTGATCTCACATCGTGATATAATCTTTTTCTCGATTTGCACTTTTTCAATCCAAACGAACCTAATCTTCCCGAGGCCTCTACGCACGTATGTCGCTCAAGGTTGACAGCTGTATGAATTAGCATTCCCTTCATACCTGCTTTCCTTCTACTCGCGCCTTCTAAAAAGGGTCATTCATCCCATTTCTAGTTTTGTTGGTAGTCAATGATTGTATTTCTTTGCTACACAACTCATATAAGGATTTTTCATTTTACCATTGAGGAAGGGAATTCATAAATAACGACAGATCATCTAAATCACCAGCATGTTAAACCTAACAAAAGAAAGTATCATCAACTATGTAGTTCGGTATTTTGCCAATATAATTCAAACCCTGTCTGTTCCTGTGGTATTACAAGGCTATTTTGATGACGCAAAGTTCATTGACGAGGTACTCTTAAATTATTACCACTTCAAAGAAGCAAAAATTAAAGATGACAACTATGTTTCCTCCATTCTGAGGAATCTGTTCTTCGGGTGTAATAGGCGACAAGTGGTGGATCATCGCGTCAGTTTTTATTATTTATGTATATTAATTTACTTCTTCCATTTGCACATCTACTGTAACTTTGCACTCGCAAGGGTGACAAGATTCTCATAACTCTTTTGAATCAAAGAATTTTTAAATCTTCCTCATACTATTTTAATTCGCATGTGAATTGATCGATAAAAATGCATTAATTGTTTTCCAAATTTAGTGCACAATAATAATTACACCATCACATCATCATTTCATATTATCTATTTAAAAATTTTTTTAAAGCTGTTGCTATTAAACTTCGACCGATTGAATTAGTATATGATACTATGAAATTACATTCCCTGTGACATATCGTTCGACTATTATAAAATGGGCTTCTTTCCGGTGTTGGCAAATGATTCCAAATGACTGCTTTTCCTTGTTTTTCTTGATTTATTATTCAGATCGGCAAAGTTATTCAACCAATTAACAGCAAATATTTCAAGAGTATGTTACACGTGACTTTTTTGATGTTTTGAAAAACATGCTTTTTGCATAATACGGGTAGTAGTAATACATCATACAGAAATTTTCGATATCATTGAGGATCGCTGATTTAGAACCTGGTTACGGCCAAAGAATAATTTTGCAAGTCTCATTAACACATTTGAGAAGAATGAGAAGAATGTAAAACAACAAATTCTAAAGATTTGCATTCACACATAATTTTTAATGACATGTGCAGTAATATTCCTGGACTCAGTAATTAAGCACATGGATTCATATTTACAAATTTTGTAAAGTAAACTTACGAGGAATAAATTTAAAGAGTTAGTTAATATTTTTCATAAAGATGGGTGAACTGTTTGTTTTCCTTTACACATATATATTTTATGTATATACTGAATATATATTTTCATTATATAGGTAATAGAAAAAGATTATTTTTAAAATTAACTGATACGAAGAACCCGAGATTGACGGATTATATCGTTCATGGCCATTTTGTGGAACAAAGCCAATGATTGGGAAAATTGGACAATCAAATTCTTATTGCATTATAATATTCGAGAGGTACGTCGTATTAATTTTTTAATTTCAATTTTACATGATAAAAAAGATATTTCCAAAAATGAAAATACGGTATATTATTTACACCTAGCCACATTATTTCCGAATTTATTCTACTCTGCCATAGATAGTTGAAAAAAATATAACTTATGGAACAATCCACCAATCATTGCAATTTTGCCGAGGGACATACAAAAAGTTAGTATTAGATGCTTAATTTCTACTTTTATTTCTATTCGAATGTGTTCTTATTTTTTACAATAAAAAACATACTCGTTTACACCTCATATGTTTATTTTCATTATACATAATTCATATATAGCCTTTTCTTCCTATCGCACGAAATCAATGTTACAGCTTTTTTGTATATGAATATCCAAGAGCAAACAATATTAACATCTGTAACGATTTATTTTCTGAATGAACACATACACACACACAACATGATGATAGAACCCATAAAACCTTTATTGACGAATGAGTTATAAATACATGATACAACAGAAACCCGAAAAAAGGGTTTGGTTATACGTGACACTATCCAAAATAAATATTTATTATTATCTGTCATTATTATTATTATTATTATGTCATTATGTCATTATTATTCTGTTATTATTATCATATTTTTTCACAAAAATCATCCGCTTGCATGTTTTAAAATTTAAGTTAGCAACCGTGGAACATGATTATTTCTTTAATAATCTTTGTATTAATCACTTGTTAATAACAACAATCCACCTGTTACTTATTATTGCGCTATAGGTCATGTGGGGCCACTGGTGCGGGTTAATTTATGTTTCCAGTTTTTTGTTTACAAACCTTTTTTACTAATCTTGGCATACAAAATTTTTAATATATGTTAATAAATTTATTTTTAGAATAAAACTATTAATATCGAATTGTTTGTTTCCAATTTTTTTTTTTTATCAAGTTATTAATGGTAATGACGGAACGCTCATTATTCAATTTAAAGAAGCAAACAATATATTTTAATGGACGTCAAACTAATTTAAATCAAGATATTCAAACCAATCAATTAAGGTGCGGTTTACAAATAAAAATTTTTTTTTCTCATTCTAGATGTAACTATAAGTATTGTAAGTTCAACATTGCAAGATGAAGCACCTATTGCAATGTTTATGCGTCTAATATTGGGCCAGATTATCAATTAGTCATGATAATAATATATATTCTAATTAGAAATCATTAATTGATGATGTGAATATGCAATAAGATCTTTAATGTTCTATTTAATGTCTATATTTAATTAATAAATTAATAAATCAATAAATTAATGGTAATAACTTTCAAATTCAAATGACAAGTAACTTTCTTTATCATTATCTAAATTCTCTTCCATCTTCTCATTCTTGTTGCCGTTAAGATCCACGACAACAAAATCTTTACCTCCATCTGCATCACCATCATGTCTTAAATTGGCAGTGATTAAAGAATTTGAATCTGAATCTGAGCCAGAGTTTAAGTTATTATATTTGTTAATCTCGCCGTTGTTGCTATTATTGTTAGATTTAGAAGTGGATCTAGAATCAGATTTATTGGTATTATAATTGTCGCTAAATCCTTCATTTATTATATACTGTATCATGTTGAGGATACCACCCAAGTTTATCGTCATTTCTACATCATGCGAAGTGAATTAAAAAATTGTGCTTTGATAAAAAAAAATTATATATTTATATAATTGATTACCTGTTACAAAATAAACCCAAATATGTGCATACTATTCAAAAAAATAAAAATTAATAAATCATTAAAAAAAAAAACAAAAAACTTTTTTTTAAAACAACAACTTACACCAACGATTTGACCAAACACATAAACACTTGAAGGTGACCATTGTACTATAAAGATTAGAACATAAGTTGCAATCTTTCTGGTAACGATTGACTCATATTTCAATACTCGATTATTATTATTATCATCATTATCACCATTTGTATCTTGGAGAACGGAATTTACTTTTCTAATTGTCATTATATAAAAAAATAACGTTGCTCCCAATACCGTGTAGGTCATTATTACTAAAATAACCGGCACTGCAATACTTTTTTTATTAGTCGCAAAACACCTAAAAAGAATATAATTTTTTTTTGTAAATTTATGTAATAACCAATATCACATCGTCAACACCATTACCATCGCTATTTCGATATTTACCAATATTTTCCAGATCCATAACTCGGTATTCCGATCAAAGTAAGCAACGAAGAAATGGAAAAAATCAAAATGAACATTTTCCAATCAAATCTTGACAAATCAATTCTTTTACCACGACAAACTCTTAAATAGGTGAACAATGCCAATAATTCCACTAGTAACATATGGCAAGCTACAAAGAAGAAAGTTAGGCCGCCTACTATTTTACATTGTGGATTTTCTGGCCATGGTTCTCCGTATATAAAAACATGAATCTATTCGAATCAATTTAATTAGAGGATATTTTGGATTGGATTATTATTATAATGAATGGACTTACGTGGTTTGTAAAATGAATTACGAATAGTAGAAAATCTGTTATTTGTTTATTTGGAATAAATAGAAATAGATGAATCAAAAATAGTAAATTAAAAAGACAACAAATCAAAAAAAAAACCACGTATTTATCGCGTCTAAGCATGTTTTTTACCTGACATAGTGATATAGAAAGGAACCCTTAAAGCCATTGGCAAAGAAGTGCGAGTAACACACCAGCGTTTCAGGGTTCTAATAATAACGTAACTTGCACACAATCCGTTCAATGATACAATAGTCATCCCAAGCAACACAAGTAATTGTTTATCTGATAGTTTCATCGTAGGGCCAGCATTTGAAGCGGTATCAGTGACGGTGGTATTGTTGGTTGTGGCGGCGAAGTTGGTAAATGTATTTGTTTTTTTGGATTCTTGTTGTGGTTTAGATTCAACCAGCATGGATAGAAATGTAAGCAATATGACAAAAGCATTTTTGTAGTTCATATTTTTATTTATTTAAAAATAAAGTTGAATAGATGAAAGAATGAACAAAAGATGGGATATGGGGAGGGGGAAGAGGGAAGAGGGGGGGGGGAGAGAAGGGAGAAGAAAGCAAAGGAGTGAAGAATGTGGCAAAAGAAAGAAAGAATCTGTTATACTAGTAGTATTAATAAATTGTTCTTTTTCAATTTTACTCTAAAGGAAGGGAAATCAATAATTAATAACTTGGAAAGTACGTGAACCAGTATTTTTATTGCGAAAGTTATTTCCATATTTGGGTAAAAAGTGATTCTTGAATTTTCTTTAATTATTTATTTTTATTTATATTAACGGCCAAATATGTACATTCAACAACTTTATTGATATTGTTTTGAAAATCCTTAATTTTGAAAAATTTTCAAATTAGGAAGATAGACTCCGGCATAAACACAGTGTATAACAACCACAAAGATAATTCTTTAAAAAATATTCTATTTATATAAACCAAGAAAGGGCACACTTTTCTGATAAAAGTGGGATTTTAACACCTAAAATTGTAATTTTGAACATCCATATAACAATTTGTTTTCCTTGAATTTATGTAAACTCGATATAAGTTGGCCATTTATTTATTTATATTATCAGGTACTTGAAACATTTTTGCTAAGGAATTAGCAACAATATTATAAAAAAATGATTATTGTACAAAATTATCAATCATTGTTATGATTGTTTTATTTTTGATCCGGTCAAAAATTAAAGGTTAAAAAAATAATTATGACTAGGACAAATTAGATTAATTACAAAAAATTATATTAAAAAAATTAAATTAAAAATTAAAAATTAAATTAAAAAATTAAAAAATTAAATTAAAAATTAAATTAAAAGCTAAACATTACTTTTGAAAAAAAAAAAAAATTAAATTAATAAAAAAAAAAATTACTTTTGAAAGATGGTTTTTCTTTTTTTAAAAAATGAAAATATTATTTACATAAAGTCGAAATTTTTCTTTTCTCTTTCGAAATTTAAATTGAATTTAGGTGGTGCGCTAAGATCAAGTAAATATTTGGATTCAAATTTGTTGTTTTCACTGCTATGAAACATTGAAGATGAAGAAGAAAAAATTTCATCGTCATCATCTTGATAACGAGGTTGATAACAATAATAATCATCGATATCATCGTCATCATCATCAAAACTGCTGCCACTGCTGCTTGTGCTGTCGCTTCTACTCCTAACATCACTACTGCTACTATCTCTGACATTATCATATTTTACATCAACATAATTAGTAATAATAATATTATTATAATCAGTGAAATCAAATTGTCTGCTGGAATAAATGGCTTTGGGTTCAAGTTCCACCTTGAAATCATCCATATTCTTGATAAATTCGTTTGAACTTTTGAATTGACGACCTATTTCGTAATTTTCTGCTTTTTCAGCTGCTTGCCACCAATCATTGAATACATATAATAATAATTTGGCAGGTGGTCTCACTGATGGGTTTGGATCGGTGCAGTGTAATGCCAAGTCTTTGAATTTTTTTGGTGTATTTTCCAAGAAACTGGGTCTCAAGTGATCTTCACAAATTTCTTTGATCAAGGTTTGATCATGTGGTCTGTCACAGAATGGTGGTTCTCCTGTTGAAAATTCCATCATCAGGATTCCTAAACTGTACAAATCGGATTCTTTGGTGTACTTGTTTCCTTTTAACACTTCTGGTGCAATATAAGGAAGCACTCCATAAAAACCTTCATCGTCGTTATTATCAAGGGCTTCGTTATAATCAGCGAAATTATCATTGGCAGGCATTGATAATCCAACATCAACAAGGGTGGATCGAGTTTCTCTAACGTCATCACCAATTTGTAAAATATTGCCAGGATGTAAATTTCCATGAAACAGACCTTCTTTGTGAATGGTGGCAAGAGTTGAAGTGATGTCGCACAACCACCAAAGTTTTTGCGACCAACTAATATTACTGAACTTGTTTTCTTTGATAAAGTCTCTAAGATTACCAAATTCGGAATATTGGGTTACTAATATGTATTCGTCGGCTTTAACGTCATATGTTATTCCGTAGATTTCCACAAAATGACTTGAACATTTTTTGGATTTCACCAACGTGCATTTGTAATATTTCTCCAACTATAAATAAAGAAAAATAATAATGAATGGGATAATTCAAAAAAAAAAAATCAAATAAAATGTAATATTTATGAAAATAATAGATTTACCTCTTTAACATATTTTCCAGACATATTTGCAGAATTTTTAATACTTTTTAGAACAACGGTTATTGGAGAAGATCGAGCACAAACAGTTTTATTTGCAGATTTGACTCTTTTACCGTCCAACCAAGTGGCACGATAAATGTTGGAAAAACATCCACTGCCAATTTTCTTTAAGCTTTTAGCTTCAAAGTTTTCGAATGGAATCCATTCCAAGAAATTATCGGTCCATTTACTAGATTTCTTTTGGGTTTTCTTTATAAATTTATCAATATGGACATTTCCACTTGTCCATTTATTATTTTTTAGTGCACATTTTTTGCACCATCCGTCAGAATCCAAATATCTTTTGATGTGTTGGCATGAGCTAAAGTCATTGATTTTATTATTAAGGCTAGCGTTAATTGTTTCTTGCATTTTTTTAATTGGTTTTTTTTTAATTGAAAGGGAAAATTAAATTTAAACAATACGTGAAATAAAAATTAAAAGTTGAGATTGGAAAAAATTTACAAGATTTTATTGTTTTTTTTTGTTTTTTGATTTTTTTTGATTTATCAAAAACCAAAAATTATAAATTAAAGATAAAAAAAAAAAGAAATTAAAAATTAAAAATAAACGTCAAAGAAACCTTTTTTATTCGCGGAATAAAAAAGATGTGAAAGTATTTACAATAGAAATTATTTTTTTAACCTTATTATTTTGACGAAGAAAAAAAAAGGAATCTGACGAAAACATTGCTAATTTATAATAAATAATTTTTCCATATTTTGATTAGTATTATTCCCGATCGTTTAAAATAACTATTACTATTGTTTTCACTAATCTATCCTAAAAAAGCAATACTGAACAATAGTAAAATAAATTTTAAATTGAAACCTGTTTACGGAGATGAGGTTAATTAAATTCGGAAATTATTGACAATGACCATTACACAACTTTAGAAAATAAATTAAAGTTTATAAGAAATAAATGAAGTGAAATGATATACCAAACATCACATCATATTACTATGCTCGAAATATACGAAATGTCACCAAACATAATTATCACTGTATTCACATTTCTCAAACGGGAGATACATGAGGAGTGAAAAATGTCTTAATAAAGAAAATTTTTTATAAATAGAAATATAATGGTGGGACTAAAAATAACTCCAGGACAATATCAAAAATTAGAGTTTTTTTTTTTTTCGTTAAATCTTTAATTTTAAATTCGAAACAGCTTCTTCCTAATACAACTCCTTGAAAAAGCACATTAATGCATTACAGCACACACAATATATAAAATCTGATAACATAATGCATGCATATAATGCATATTAAACAATCCACCAGTCAAAATTATTAATCATTGATTGGTACTACTTGCAAAGTGAATCTTTAAGATATTATATGTGTAAATATTTTGTAAATACGTACGCGCGTATTAATTATTAAAAATTCTATTGATTTCTCCTGTGTAAATTTTAAATAAACTTGCATTTTATTATACTATTTTTATCTTAAATAAATAATAACAATAAATAAGAGTGCATGCGAAGCATACATTAGAGCACGTCTGTGGCATTATTTGGAATATCAGCTAATAAAGCATGCTATAATAACGGGTGTCGGACTTTGAAATGAACGTATGACATCCATCCTATAATCTCCGTCATTGCATGCCTATGGAAGTCATGGCATACAATAACGGAAATTATAGCATGTCTCATTTCATAGGCAGGCATACAATAAACAAGTTATTATCAACAATTCTCTTAAAGAGTCCTAAATCATAATTTTATGCATTGTCTAATAATTTTGATCAGCATGGTATATATATAGATTTTTTGACTCTGCATGCTTTTTAACCTGCATTTCCAATTTCCGAAGAATCGAATATATATCATTTGCAACCAGAGTTCCCTACACGCATATATCTTCTTAGAAAAGAATACTTTCAAGTTAGAAACTTGTATTTTGTGACATGGAAACGACTCGGAATTTAATATTGTTATACACTATTATTATTTGTTATTATTGATTAGTACACGTTATGTGAGTCAAAATCGTCATACAAGGATTGGTTCATTATAATAATAACCATTTTGGAATATTCGGAATCAAACCATTTATAGATAAAATTGACACACCCATGGAGTTTACAACCTTTGTAAGGATAAGTGAAGCGTTTTATTGATGAAATCAGGCTAAAAACGGAAGAGAGAAATTCCGTACTGCGGTGTGTTGGCAAGCGCCAAATGTAAGTCTTGGGAACAAACGTTACAATAGTCTTATTGACAATCTATCAGGAACATAATACGAACAAAATAACAATATGCCTACATTTTGCCACTTTCACATTTTTAACTCTTTTTTTTTTAACAGTCGAATAATTTATTTGATATAGGCATCAATTTAAACGTAACAATAAGATATAATTAATGAATGTAATAAGAATTACCAAAATAACTAATTTACAACATAACCACTCTTGTGAATGTAGCAGTATAAATTGAACTAAATCCACCTTCTGTCAACTTTGTTATCTTTTCAAAGAATTCATTCTAAAGTATATCTTTGCAGAGATGATGATTTCATTTGACATTGTTGAGTAAAATCATTAACTATCTTATTTCCAGGTGTTCAAGTAGTGAAAAAGACTTTGTAATACAGCCTTCACAGAATCTATCAGAGTATCTTGTTGATTTACACTTGTTACCTCACAAATAAACTAGAAAGCTAATTAAAAAAAATAATCTTTTCCATTTTCTTATCAGAATTAACTTAACTATTGCATTATTATACATCTCACTACCAATTTATATACAAGTCTCATTTTTCTGGTAATATTGATAATAATAAATATAATAGGAGAAAATGGGGTACATTTAAAACGTAAATGTACTAGTACCAATTTCAGTAATAGTAATACATTGAGGTCCTTTTTTGTAGTTTTTTTCCCACCAAAACTTTTTAAAAATTAGGCCAACTTGTACAACGTTTAATGTATTGTTTACTAGCCTTCTTAGGCTAAAAAAGGGCTTAGCTGGAAACGCGCTATTAATTGTGTGGTCAATTTGATTGCTATAAATTTTAAATTTGGTTAGCACGTCAATTCTGTGGTTCTATACTTACGCCCTGGTTATGAAAAAGAAAATCATTTAAAAGTTTATTTTGTATTGTAAAATAAATATCTTTACATTATTTTTCAGGTCTAGAATGTTGCAAAAACAGAGAGTTTTAAAAGTTTAGAAAAGTATCAGCGTTTAAAGATTAGCGGCGTTTTTGGATATCTTTAGGTGATCTGTGCTATATAATAACAGCTATTCATGATCATTGCGGAGAATTAAATGGCGTGTAATAAACAACTCTCCCGTGATGGTACTCTTTCTGATAGTGATTTACATTTTAACCTTTTGACAGTTAAATGAGAACTAATTGATGGGTTTCAGCCATATACACTCTTTACAACAAATATCCGACTCCATATGAATCCTCATTAAAAAGAATTAATTGACGATCTTTTTTAAAATACTACATAAAAAACCTTACTTTATAATGGTCTTTTAATCAAATTTCCTATAATGTATAACGGCCTGTTTGAAATTCACCTATATGTTTTATATAACGGCCGACGATTATGATATGAAATTTTCCATATTGGTTAAATGCACTTTATTTCTCTTGATGTTTATTATTATAACAACAATGCATCTGTCAACATTATTCCACATATACATCATCCTTATTTCATATCTTCATAACATTACTTTATACATATATCATTATTATTATCGTAATTATTCAAACATTATCGTCATTGCCTTCACGTTATATATCTAAATGGATATAATTCATAACCAAAGAAACATAATAACATCATTATGGCTTGCTATATAATATTGATTCATAATATAGGTTTACTGTAATTATTTGTAAATATGACATAAAAACAGCTTTTCGACTTTCTTACTACTTCGTGATTAACACTCCTTCAAAAATGTATATAAAGGCCCAGTTTGCATCAAATCGATCTAATTTTTTTTGATCTTGAAACAAATAAATTGTATTATTCTCAAAATATTTAATGCAAATAATATTTTATTTTTATTTTTAATGTATATTTTAATGTACATATATTAATATATGTATTAATATTATATAAATAAAAATCTTGTATCACATTGTGAATTGGTCACACGATTATTGTAAATTCCCTATAACGGTCTTTTGCCAAAACAGAAGGTGGTAGGTAGTATCATATTGAGTACAGCATGAAAGAAATTTGCGATGCTACAAATGATATCATGTGCTCTATCCCATTAAATTCATATATGTAAAAAAATTTTATTCTTTCCTTCTCCAAGAACTTTTCTGTGTTCGTACGTCAGATTTAAAGGTCAAAAAAATAGTATTTTATCTTATCAGATAAAATAGTAAATCCTATGCTTCTTTTGCTATTTTTTTTCAACCTGCATATCCGATTAGCAATGGTAGAAGTTTTCAGAAGTTCTTCCCCTTGTTCTACATGTTCTAAACTTTATTTTAGCTGTCATTTTTGGTTTGGATTTACCGTTACTGTGTAAAACATAACTTTGACCCTTGGACTTATTCTTTTAATTGGTTACATTTGTTTGTTTTTTTAGCGCCGCCCTGAAACAATGCAAGAAAAATTTTATTATTATAAACATCAATAAATCAATCTTTTAGACTGATCTAATTCCAAATTTTCATCATCATATAATTTGCATTTATTGTGTATTTAGCTATTTATTTTTATATTTTTTGATTTTTATTTGATTTTATTATAATAAATATACATTTTATTTTATTTATTTTTTAAAATCAATAATAATAATATTCTAATATATGATTTGTTTTTTTTCCTTGATTGCGTAACAAGATCATAATTCTTAATATGATGATGTCAATAAACAATATTATGTAATGTTTTCTGTTTGTCGCGTAACAAGATTATTCCAACATTAGATCAATCGTTCATAATAATAATGGTTTACTGTGCAACAAAGATTGACCACCATCAGATCAATTGTTTAACCCTAAATCCTTATACTTTTCCGATGGCCCATAGTGTAATTCGATTACTATTTAAAAGAGCAACAGGGATATAGCAACGGTTTGAGATTAGGAAATGAGATTGATAGTGGTTCTTCTGAGATTTTAAATTTGCTCAAAATCTTATTTATTGGCCAATTAATTCATATTCTCCTTTTAAAATTAAAAATTTAGTGGAATACAACGAATAAAATTAATAATTCGAATAATAATAATAATAATAATAATAATAATAATAAAATCAATAATTCGATAATTCGAATATTAATATTAATAATAATAAATAATAATAACAACAACAGATAATAATTCGAATAAAATATTTTTTCTTTATTATTATTAATATATTTTTCCTTCGTA